CACGCAAAAAGATCAAATGATTCAATATTAATTAATACAACAACAACAATAACCCAGTATAATCCCACTTAGTGAGGTCTGTGGAGGATAGTGTGTACGCAGACCTTACCCCTATCCTGGGTAGAGAGTTGGGTAGAGAGGCTGTCAATATTAATTAATACAAATTATTAAAAAGTTGATCTTACATATAAAGTGGCCCTAGCTCCATTTCTTGTCCTATTTTATAATTCAATTATTACATGAGTGATTAGAATCTTGCTAATAAAAACTCTAATAATTTTCAAATAATCTCATCGATAAATGATGTAGGCTACTGTTCTGAAACCTAGTTAGTGGGATTATGCTCTTGTTGTATATTACCATATAGATAATCCCTTAATAATTTCAGCCTGCTGTTACCTTTGTTAATATTTTCATTTTGTCCTTCTTCTAATAAGACCAATCTAGAACATGGAAAACTTTTAAAATAAAGTGGTGCTCATCAACGTGGTCCTCTATATATAATGACCCGACCCGAACAAGTGGTGAATATAGAACAAGCACATAATCCCAAAGAAAATTATACTCCTACTAGTCAAGAAGACTGTTAAAAATATGTCCTACAACTTTGGATGTTGAAGAAAGAATATAATTATTAAAAAGAAGAGTACGTTATAGTGAGGACAGCAACAACCCAGTGTAATCCCACAGGTGGGGTCTGGGGAGGGTAATATGTATGCAGACCTTACCTCTACCCCGAAGGACAGAGAGGCTGTTTCCAGGAGACCCTCGGCTCAAGAAGGCAACAAACATGACTGAAAGATTAGAGTTCACGTCATGAGTTAGCTGATTAAAAGTAAATGATAAGCATCAATCAAGTGTGATTTATAAGTATTCGAACGAATCTTATAAATAAGGAGTTACGTATTTAGATATTTTGAACCCCATAAAAGAAAGATAGATTTTTAAGACCTTGGCTGCATATATGTTGGGTAGTTGGTGAGATCTGATATCATGGATTTGGTATTTCCATGGTGAGAAAGGCAGTGGGAACTCTGACATGTTGTCTTGATAAACCTATTGTAGGTCTCATTCGTGAGAGAGAAAGAGAAAGAAGTTTGAACTTGAGATCTTCATATATAGTGTTGAACAGTACAAGTAAAATTTCCCATTTTAGTATATGAACTCAGGGGCGGAGCTAGAGTGCCGCCATCGGGTTCGGCCGAACCCAATAGTTTTGATTCAAACCCTGTATTTGTCTTAAAAATTCTATTGAATATATATAAATTATTAATTTAGAACTTAGTAACTTAAAACGATTAGAATCTCAAACCCATAAGTGTGACGCCTCTGTATGAACTGAAGTATTGTCATTTTATGAGTTAGTGTACATTGAATCAGACTCGAAAAAAGATTTGGTTAATGAAATGGAGAGATAGGTCTAAACTCTTGTCATTTAAGATAGCTCTATAAATAATTAGTTTCACATTTCACACTGTATTCTGAAAATGCTCATATTTCATTAAGATGACAAAATATCAATATGAGAAAAAGTTTCAACATCTCAATTTACAAAGCTAAAACATAAATTACAAATATAATTAATTTAGCACCTAAATTGTACTTAATAGTGATTTCCAAAGGTGCCATTGGCTGAGAGTTGGTCAAATTAAAGAGAAGGCTTTTCAATTTGGAACAAATTCTTGCCCCTGAGCAATTACTACAATCCTTTTCTCAATCAAACATATAAAAAGTTTCCTCAGAAATGATAGGGGAAACAGGGGATAGTATAAGAAAACTGGAGAATTATATTTCTGCAGAAATATAGGCAGCAAGTGAAATAACCATAATCTATAATCCTACATTTGGGTCAGCCATTGGTGAATACCAAGTGAAGAACAACTAAACAGCAAATTGCTGCATTACAGAAGTGACAAGACAAACAATTTGGATATGTCCCAGCTGAGTATATTCTTCCTTCCTTGGCACAAAAACTCATCAAAAGATGATGAGGAATCAAACAGGATAATTGGAGCAGACTAATCAGTTAGCTTCGAAAGCGGTCAAGAAGCTGAAAACAAAGGTGGCAAGATGTTAGAACCTAGCACGATACCTTCGGATACAAAAACTGAAACATATCTGTAAAATAAATGCCACTGTCAACCATCTAACCTTTTTTCCCCCTTAAGGCACACCATAATGGCCAATTATTAGCACTTATTGCAGATCAAAGATTAATTACTACTTATATATTAGAACATAAAAATTGCCTTTTGAGTTCTAATGATGCATCTCCTGATTTAGTGAAGAATAAAGTGTGGATTTTGGTGGAAGGTTGGGGCACTAAATTACATCAGACTGATAGATTTAATATGTTTCTACTCCCCAAAGAGAGTAGATTATGAGATAAATTTGATCGTAACCAAAATGCGGCGCCCTGTTATAAGCAACAGTGGCACACTGGGCATGTTTACTCCCTCCGTTCAACATTTGGCCCTTCACATTTTTGATAAGGAACATTTGGCCCTTCACATAACAATTATCAAATGCGAACTTAAACAATATGAGTACACCAGGAACCTTGAGCACAAACAAACACTATAGGAGTGTGATTTGCACAACCAATGCATTGAGGACCAAATTGCAACTCCAGACAACCATCAAAGACCAGAAAATAACTTCCATTTTAACGACCTCAAAAAAACAAACAATGAGTAGTGTATAAAAGAAAGAAATGCGACCATAGCCAAAATTGAATTCAGGCATGCAACAGTACAATATATAACACAACCAATCAAGGGACAATGCCCGCTTTCCTCGTTTTTTAGGAAGAAAAGGAACATCATCAACCCCATGTATCAGTATAAATGTATGCCTTTTTAAAGGAAAAATGACTTGAAAGAGCTGCCCCAAAGAAGCCATATTCTCTTTCAAAATTTAGCCACCAGAATTTGAGACAGAAATAAGTATTAACTCACCAGAGCAGGATACTGCAGAATCCATCCAAATACAGGAATCTGGAAAAGAAAAACCTTGATGGATGGCCAGAAACCACTGCAGGGAAAAGATCAACGTCTAAATCTCTTATGCTACCCAAGGAAAGACGAACATGAAGAGAAAAATGAGAGAACTTGTCCGGAAAATATTCAGGAAAAGGTGCTCACCCGAAGAGAACAATGCATCCATATATTTCCACAATGATACCCACAACTGGCCAGCGAACGAATATAAGGAAGAGCCCGAGCATAAATGATATTGTGCCCTGGAACAAAAGTCTTGTTTAGTTTCAGTCAAAGAAAGAAACTGAATAAGTGACACCATCATTTATGTTTTTGAGCGAGATAATTAAGCACCCCATGTCAGTGCCCCTCCCCCCGGCTCTCTCCCTCACAATTTGAAGACTATTACTATATTCATTTTGCTTCGTATTAAAACAGTAAGAGTTGAGAACATAAAGCATTTGGATTCAGCAGCGAAATGACAGAAGACAGAGAAAACAGCAATGCATGAACGTAAAGGTTGAGAAAGCATGGACTAGAGAACCAATAGCCCTTGAAAGATAGGTAAGAAGGTCTGGGATTAGAGCAGAAAGTGCTAACCTATTAACTTCCGAAACATTAGCGTGAGTATCATTCAGAAAAAGAGACTGTAATA